TCAGCTATCGGAATGTTGTTGAGGCAGGAGTGTGGCCCTGCACTCTCCATCTAGCAATGAGCCGGACCTCAGGACGGGAGAGAGCTGCACCCACTGATGCACCCTGCAAGCCAAAGCACTGTGCATAGTGTTGAACCTCCCATTTGCTACACTCACACTGCCTGCATGTTGACCTCTCCCCCGGTCCCCACCCGCTGGGCCGCAAACAGCACCCCTGGCATGAACAACCCCACCTGCGTCGAGCGCTTGACATCCAGGAAGAGGGTGTAGGCGCGGGCCACGTCCTCCACATCCACGGCAGAGGCCTTGCGCCGCGCGGCGATGAGCGAGGCCGCCGTGATCAGGTGGATGGCATACCTGTAGAGTGGGCGCAGCATGGGCGGGGTGGGCCAAGGGGTGTGGGATAGGGCAGGGGCTCAGCGGCATGCGCTGTCTTGGCGGGACGGCATGCCTTACTGATACAGCACTCGGGTAACATTGGCTCCCAAGCAGGCACCGGTCGTTGCGAGATTCAATGTCCAACCGTGCAGCCTTTGATGTGAGGGGGGAGCCATGCATAGTTTGCAAGCCTGCGGAACCCCCATTCTCCCACTCCATCACACCAGACAACTCCCCACCTCCTCTCCCCCCACCACGCAGTCACACACCCACCCACTCGCCTGAGGCTGGTCTCCAGGCCTATCTTGGTGAGCAGGGCATGCGCGTCCCCTGCCAGCTCCACGTCCTCCTCCTCCGCCCGGATCTGGATGATGCGCGCCAGGTCCTCCTCCCCCGGGGGCGAGGTGGAGATGATGAGCAGGCGGTCCAGGAGGTCCAGCGGGATGCCGTGGGGCGCCGAGTAGGCGGTGCCCCGGATGCGCGTGATGCCGCGATTGGAAGCCACCACCAGGATGGGGGCCAGCTCTGACTCCAGCGCGCGGTTCAGGTAAGAGAAGCACTCAATGTCCAGCATGTGCACCTGGGAGTGGTGTTTTGTTTGGTGGGGGAAGGGGTTTCAACCTGGGGAGCCGGGGTGAAGAGATCATATTGGGGTGAGCTCCACCCAACAAGGGTCGGCAACTTCAACACCCATACAAGCATTCCAGCCCGCGCGCCAGACCCACCTCGTCGATGAAGAGGACGCCGGGAATGATGTCGGCCTTGCCCTCCTCGCGCCAGGTTGCAACCTTGGAGTCGATCTGGTCGCGCACCTCGCTCCGGATCTCGCCCGTGTCCCCGGCGAACAGCGCCAGGAAGCCCTGCTGCCGCGAGTTGATCACGTCGATCTCGTGCAGGGTCACCACGTGTGTCACCTCACGCCGCCGCTGCAGCTCCCCGGAGGGGCACACCACGAACTTGGTGGCGGGGCCTGGGGGTGGGGCAGCGGAAGAGGTGAGACAGGAGGTTGGTGCTGGGCAGTGACAGTGGGTGAACAGATGTGCACAGGGATAGCCTGGCGATGATGCTGGGCCTCCTAATTACATCTACAACAAGCATGCGACTCAACCATGCCCCATCCAATTCATCAGGACCGCAGGCACGGCAATCCCCTCCCCGAGCCCTCACCCATGGCGTCAAAATCTCGGGACCTCGCAAAGGATCGACCAAGCTTGGTGACCTGAAAATGTGGAGGCGGAGGTGGGTGCGGGAGAAGGTACACCGCCATGGGCATGCAAGGCAGCTCACATGCCTCATAGACGGGTGGCACTCCATGACCTCGTTCTCGACAGGTACCCTCTTAGCCTGGATCCTTGGAGCCTCCTCATCGCATGAGCTATGCGCACGGTCCCACCCTCACCCACCCACCTTGCCGCTGGACTTGTCGATGGCAATCACGTCGCCAGCAGTGACCTTCTCCTTTTGTATCGCCTCGATCATCTTCGCGCCGAGATCGTAGATGGTCTCCATCTCCGTCGTCTTCATCGTGAGCTTGCCCTGTGACGTGCGGTGAAAAGGGCTCCACAGCATGACTACTCTGCCCGCCAGTGTACCCGACTGCAGCCCCGAGGGTGCCACTCAGATGCAAATGGATTCGACTCTGGCACGCCGCGTGCATTCCTGGCCACAGTTGCTGCTTGCCCTGGTCCCCCACCCGTAACACCATGCCACACCGTCTTGCTGGCAGAACCGGTGGCAGGCCGGTCAATCTCAATCTCCACCACCTCTCCCTCAATGAGCTCAGACTCCTCCTTGATCCTGCAATGTGTGCCAGTGTATGAGGACTGGTCATGGGTGATGCGGGATCGGGCGGGAGATCTTAGTTCAGGCTCTGACTAGCCAAGGAGCGCCTCAAGCGATTCTAGAGTAAACCAATTAGAAGAAAGAATCAAGGACGACTTCAGGCAGCTGGAGTAATGTCATGCAGATATTATCCGGTGGCTGCCAGCAGGCTAATCCTCTGTGCAGGAGAAAAAAACGCACCCACCGGCCCTCGCCAGCACCCACCTCACGCCAATGGCCTTGCGGAACGCTTGTGTCAGGGCCTCGGTCTTTGACATCTCCATGGAGAATATCTCGGAGGCCGCAATCATGGCAAAGGGGGTCTCGTCCCCTAGTGACTTTGCCATTCCCATGGCAATGGCGGTCTTGCCGGTCCCAGGCTGGCCGGCCAGGAGCACAGCCCGACCAGCGATACGGCCATCCTTTATCATCTGAGTGATTACACCAGCAGCCTGCAGGGGTGTTTGAGGCCGAGGTCGGCATCAACAGCCTCACACTGTATCCCAACGACTGTCCACTCTAAGTCTGCCACTTCCCACCTTGCGCGCTGATGCCTGGCCCACCAGGCCTTGGGACACGGCGCGAGCCTCCAGAGAGTCATCCAAGCCAAGGCCTCGGATGTGAGAGTGGGCGCCAATCCGTTCGATGCGTGTGAGATCTTTTTCCTCCGCATTGACCCGTAGGTCTGCCATCGTCTTAGCACACTCTTCCACAGCGGTTCAGGGGATCACCTCTACACAACTTGAGGATATCATCGGTGTATTTATCAAATATTTGTATGTCTTGTTTACTTGTTCATCCCCCCACGATTAAAAAGGTGTCTCCCAGGCATGAGCGCGCCATGCATGGTGTTTCTGTTCTCTGCTTTCCAGAGGTCCGGTCTGCTTTTAAACCCCTCCCGACAGATTTTGCTGGGAGGCCGATCACAGGCGCAAGAGCGGCGATCGCTCCTGTCAGCGCACATACATCACTACCATTTACTCTTTCTGAAACTCAATATCGTTCACCATGGCTCCCAAGAAGGCTGACAAGTCGCCGACTAAGGCCAAGGCCGCGAAGGGAGGAGTCGAGAAGCCAGCGAAGAAGGTCAAGAAGGTCAAGGACCCCAACGCGCCAAAGGTAAATAGGCATAGCACGCCTGCGACTGAGGTGGCTCGCGATCTGATTGCCAGGAGCCGAAGGGGGAGGTGTCCGTTGGAAGGCCGACAGCTCCTGGCAATACCGGGTATTGTATGCTGGGGCTTCCGTCTGTCCATCTAGTCGCTTTGCGTGTGCTCGATCCGTCTAGTCATCGCACCTCCTTGAACTTTTCCACTACGCAGAGGCCACTGTCGGCCTTCTTCTTCTACTCGAATGACATTCGTGAGCAAGGTAACAATGGCTTCCCTATCAGAGATGCAGCTTGATTGAGAGACAGTGAATCACAAGCTGGGGGTGCAACCACAGCTCACAATGCCTGCACGATCGTCCTTCCTGCAGTGAAGAGCGACAACCCCGGCATTGCGTTTGGCGAGATCGGCAAGAAGGTTGGAGCTCTGTGGGCTGCCCTCTCCGAGAAGGACAAGGTGAGCGTGTGGGAGCTTCGGGTGTGACCATTGAATAAAGAAGCTAGCTCATGATGATCCGGTGAAACAGCCTCCCACATTCCCTCGCTCAATCCCTACTCTCTGTCTGAAGTAGCCACGCTTCTTTTCCCTCAACAGGCACCGTATGAGAAGAAGGCCGAGGCCGACAAGGCCCGGTATGAAAAGGAGAAGGCAGCCTACACCAAGGCGTAGGGTGCCGGTGTCCTGTTACCCCAGGGTGCCAGTGCCAGAGGTTCCTGCAGGACTTGACGACAGTGCCCCAGCCCCACGCAAGAACTCATGCTGGGATGCATGACCCAACCACAACCTTTCTGACAATGTGTAACGACCTGACCGGTGTGGACGAGCCCAGCAGCTCTTGTTTCCCGGGCAGCGCGGGTGCGAGAAACAGGCGTCTGCCTCGAAGCACACCCCTTCACACCCTCTGCCGCGTGACGGGAGAGGGCCCCGGCCCACCTTGCGGCGGCCCAAATCGCAGCACCAGCATGTGCACGACGCGATCCCTGCATCAAAGGAGGGGGGCCGGGGAGTGTTGACGGTTGTGTATGGCCCGCTGCCCTGCCATGCAGGACGCACATGGGGGCATTGGCCGCTCACCAGGCCTCGTCTTCGTCGATTGGCGCAGGGATGGCATGTGCAGCACACACCATACTTGCTCCGCGGTCCCTTACCCCCCTCCCGCCCGCCCCTCACCCACACCAAGCTCACCAGAAGCCCGTGAGGGCAAAGGTGCCGCCCACCACCGCCGCGGCGCGTACGAGGAGGTGCAGGAGACCCGGCCGTCGGAACTCGACGTCCATGGCGATGGGGGAGGTGTCGTAGAGGAAGAAGATGCCCGGCAGCAGGTTGCTGGCCTTGGTGTCCACCGGCGCATAGTACTCGGTGACAGAGTACTGGTGCGTGCGCACGTCGCCGCGCCAGGCGCCGCGGCGGTAGCGCGTGGGCACTACCTTGACAAAGTACTTGTCGATGCCGGTGGCCTTGCGGTCGATGCGGCGCACGCCCTCCAGCGGGTAGGCCTGCCCGGGGTAGCCCTTCTCCCCAAACCTCAGTGTGTGGATGACGTGGCTGGCGTTCAGGGCCGAGGCGTCGGGTGTGTGCTGCATTGCGTGTGTATGTTGATGGGGGAAAGGGTGTGGGGAAAGAGGGTTGGTGTAAGGCAGGCGAAGACACTCTTCGCCAAGCAGTGCATGTTGTTGCCGGCCGCGAGACATTGCCCTGCAGGGGGCGGGGGTCCCAGACCGGGTGTTAATGCCACGCAAACCTCTCCTGATTCCCACCAGCCCCCACCCCCCCAAAGCCCCACCTCCACATTCAGGTGCATGTGCCTTGTGAGGAGGGCGCCGATGATCTCCGCCTCGTTCATGGACATGAAGAGGGCCTCGGGCCGGACCGAGAAGTGGAGGTTGCCCGCCACCTTCTGCACTGCCACCCAGCCGTGGATGAGGCAGCCCTCGTGCGCCAGCATTGCCTTCCTCCTAGAAAGTGTGAAAAGTGGGTTGGCTTGGGATGGCGGAACATCAGGCTTGGGCGGCGCACTGAATCGTTCGAGCACTGGGGCGAGGGGCAACCCAGGGCTAGGACCCAGTCCCAGGTGTCGACACGCCTGCTTTTCAAAATCACTGCATGGGTCGCCCCGTCCAAGAAAACAGGCCAGACGATGGCATGGAGGACAGGCGGCCTGGGGCTGACACCGAGTTCAGCACCAAAACCCCGCTCACATGTTCTCCAGGTTGGCCGAGCCCAGGTTGAAGGACATGGCAAAGGCGGACTCGTGCGCGTTTATCCGTGGCGGGTGGTACTCCTCCCGATCGCTGCGCCGGCCCTCAGCATCCAGCCGCCACTTGTGCAGCTCCCCGTTCCTGGAGCGGGGGCAGGAAGTAGGAATGGACGGAGTGGCCAAGCACATGCCCTTATTGTGCGAGGGCAATGATCTCTGCACAGCCCGATGCGTTCTCGGGGAGAGAAGGCACACGCCACTTGCATCCCAAGATCACAGAGCTCCCCACCTGGCCACGGCAACCCCCAGCTCCGAGTGGTAGGTGCCGCTGACGTCGCCCGTGTCCATTGTCAGAGAGGAGCAGGGCAGCGCAGGGAAGGTGATGTTGAAGTGTATGTGCAGCAGCTCGTCGCGCGTCGTGTCCACCTTCATCTGCAGCGGGAGTGGTGCAGGGACAGCGGGTGAGGGAGGCCTGCCGGCACTTGGTTGAAGACCAGGGCCCCTGGTGCCCATGCAGATTGATGCTCCCCCTGCCTCCCAGCCCACGCACCGTCTGCACCATGTGGTAGCTCAAGCATCGATGCGCCTCTCCCGCGAACAGCACCACGGCCACCAGGATGCCGATGATGGTCACTGCAGGTGGTGCATGGTCAGTCAGCGGGGTGCCGGGGTGGCACTGGACCCAGACGCATGCACCATCCAAGCAAGTAGAGCAGTTCCCCCTCGCACCTATCCCTCCATGCACGGTCTTTTCTCTCAGATGGTCCTCTGCCCGGGTGTAGGCGCTGATGCGGGCCAGGCCTTTGGCCCGCGCCATCCCTCCCCCGGAGCACCAAGCCGGCCGGCGCTGGGCTGCGACGCTCGCGAGAATCTATTCAGACTCCCCACCTCTCAGATACTGAATGAGTAACTTGCTCATGGATAGCCCAACGCATGTGCAGGGCCCCACTGCACTGGGCTGAATGTCTGTCCCAGCTCTTTGAATGCGTCGGTCGTGATTTACAGCCCGCGGGGGGGACCTGGACGATGCCCTGGCCACGCGCCACGCGGGACAGCCCCACGGGAAGATGCCCCTCCAGCCACACACACACCCCTCCAACCATTCTTGCGGTCCGCAGCTGCGGGCGGGGCGCAGGCGCCCCCTCACCGCGCGCCCGGGGGCAGGTACCCCGGCAGCCCCGCCCGCGCGCCGCGCAGCTGCTCCAGCAGGGCCTCGCCCGTGGCGTGGAAGGGGTTGGGCGCCTCCCGCGTCGGCCGCTCGCCGGGGTCCTGGCCCCGCTGCGCGGCGGCCCACGCCTGGTTCTGCAGCCGCTGCGCCGCCTCCGCGGGCGTCAGCGCGGTCTGCGGGTGCTGGAGGGCCGCGCGCGCGTGCTCCGCCCGCGCGCGCGCCGCGTGGTACTGGTCCTCCATCGCGCGCTGCAGCTGCTGCTGGTACAGCTCCTCCGGGGCCATCGCGCCGCGGTACTGCGCGGCCGGCGCCGCATGCGGCGCGCCGCCGGCCGCGCCCGCGACCCCGCGCTGGGCCGCCGCCAGCATGGCGGCGAACTGGGCCGGGTCCATGGGGCGGGCGGGGGGCGGGGCGCCCCTGGGCCCCGGCCCGGGGGCCCACTGCGGAAGGCCCGTCGCCTGCGCCTGCGCCGCGCCCGGCGCGTAGGCGGGCGGGGCGAAGTGCGGGGCGAAGGGCCCCGGCACGCCGACCATGCGCTGTGGCATCGGCCTCACCGGGCGCGGGCCCCCCATGCCGGGGGGGGGAGGGCCG